ACACAAGCAAACAAACATCTCTTAATACAAGCATGTAGTAGCACAGTGTGTCAGTGCATAAAATAACATGGTACAATAATCCCACCATGTGCTCTCCACTGAGGTCCTGCACAACCTTAATCTGGTCAAAGTCAAAGGGACCCTTGAAGCTATGCGCTGCCTTGAACTTGGCCTGCCTGGTGTAAGGCATACCCTCATCGTCGCTCGATGATGGATCATCCTGATCTGTATGGAAGACTGAGCGTAGGATAAACAAAAAGAAGAAGTGTATCAGGGTTATTTCACAAGCCTGTGTTGGCATTTGGGATATTCTTAAAGTCAGACCCATTATGCTCATTACCAGGTCCATATTTCTGCACTCTTGGACTCATAGGGGTTCTGTGATAATAGTCAGAGCTCTAATAGTGAACACGTACAACTGAGACAGAGTCAAAGACTATTTATTTTCTTGTGTTCAAGAAAACTGTATTTTTAATGCATTTTTTTCCTTTATGGTGCTTAAAAAAAAGCACACACTAAAAATGGTGTGTGCACACAACTTGTTATACCGACAACTAGGGTTGTAGTTGGACAGGACACTTTCTTGTAATGTTTAGTAAGTTATCCACAGGAACATGAATATAGGCTGTATGGTTTTTTAAAAAAAAAATACAACTGCCTCTGCACAACATCCTTTCACTTCCTTCTCTTTTTTTTTTTTTTACCTTCATCACGAACACTTTTCACTTTGTTGACTGCCTTCTCTCCGTACTCCTCAGCCAGATGCTTGGCCTTCTTCACCGACTTGCCGAGGAATTTTTTTAACTGGGTCCTGGTCAGAAATACCAACAAACCATTAATATACTTTAAATTAGATGATGTTGTGAAAGAGGGAAATACACTAAGTTTCAGCAAAAGGCAACCAAAAACCACTAGTCCTTACGTTCTCTGTTTTAGTTTTCCACCGTCTGTGTCTGTCATTGGAGTCTGAGTCTTCTCATCATCATCTGACTGTGCTGCATCATTCCTGCAAAGCCAAAAATATATCAGCGTCGTCTCGAAACTTTACCAGGTTCTTGTTTTAGATGATAAAGCTTAACCATGTTTTCCATGGGAAACTTATGTGAGCAATATCAGTGCAACCCATTGTAATCAACTTATTCCCTCAACAGGGAAAACCTTTTCTGAGAATCTGATCTGAAGGTCAAGTGTTTGGCTTCACCCTAATCTTTCCCTCATTGACTTGTTTAATAAGCTGTGATTTGAACAGTTTTAAATTAAATTTGACAACAGCAACTTGAGCTAACCCACGTAAATAATGTTCTGCTTACGTGATGTACTCCTTGGTCCTCCTCATAATGTGCAGAGTGAGAGGGTTGATCCCAGCAGGAAGTTTCTCCTCCGCCTGAATTAGAGGAATTTCTTCCCCAGTGTCTAAATTCTTGATCATCACACTGGCCAAGATTTCCTGTTTTTAAGATGCCCACAAGCATATTTTTGTTGCAATGACGACCGGTGCCAGGAATGTGTCGATTTTAGGTTGTGGCTTGGACTAAAGCACACACAAAAACTGACTCTTACTTCATCTGTCAGTTCTCTGCCAGAATTTGACCGAGGACGTTGAGGGCCTGGGGTCTGTCCTCCGCTCTGAGATGAGGTCTGTTCATCTTCATTTTCCTAAAAATAAATAATAAAAATAATAAATAAATAAAATAGAAATTACTGCACAATATTTAAATTCCTTTTTTAGCACCAAAAAGAGGTCTGAGCCTCACTCACCTGTGCCGTCACCACCTTGTCTCCACTGGTAGCACTGGCCAGATCCAAGGAATGCTGCAGCTCTTTGGTTAGACTCCTCACAGTGCTGCCAGGAGACAGGAGGCCTGATGGCTCCAGAGAATCACTGCAGACCACACTGACAGCAGACACTGGAAAAATCACGCAACACAACAAAAAACCTTCATAAGAAAAACCGGTCTTCTTTTTCTGTCTGCTTTATGTTAGTGTGATTCATATGATGTGGCAGATAAGTACATAGACATACATAAAAGATAAAGACATTTTAACACTTGTTTAGTAAAAGGTAACAGTTTAAAATCCCACACTGGATTGATGCAACATATTTGACATTGAGACCCATTAAAAATCGCACTGTATTGCCTACCTTCCAGCCCACTTGGCCTAACACACTCCTGTGACTTCTTGGTAGGTAATTTCGGCCGAGATGGTGGCGGAGGTCTTGCAGGAGGACCCCCGCTTGGAGGGGGTGGGCGTGAGGGAGGAGGCTTCTTTGTGCTAGCTACAATGTCTGGCTCCACTGTGAACTGCTGAGGTTTTAAAGACCCAGAGGAGTCCGAGTCAGCTGGCCTGTCAGTCAAGGGAACCTGGTCTAAGATGTCAGCCGGTCTTGGCTCCTGACCACCTTCTGCAACCGCAACAGACAGGCTGGGCTGACTCTGTCCTATGGTGCTGGTGATGTCTGGAGGCTGAACATGTTCTTGTGAGCCAGCTGATGGCCCTGGGAGACCTGTGGGCTCGAGAGCAGGTATAGAGCACTCGCCGTTTGATACTATGCTATTCCGTTGTTCCTCTGGCCTCTCGACAAGCTGGGGTTCAACAGCTGGCACAGCCAGCTCCCCAGGGAGCCTGTCACCATTATTCTGCTCATTTGGCTCGGCTGCTACATCAACATGCAGCTGATCTAACAGCTGAGCCACCTCACCTACGTCTCCCTTTTGACTCTCTTCGATGATACTATCAATGATCTAAAAGAAGAGAAAACACAGTCGATTTAGCAATACAACATCTATTTTCTTACGTTATAGCTCATCTCTAAGAAAATGTGTTTCTCTTTGCACAGAACTTAAAACAAAACTCTAAACAAGGATGAGACTAGAGAAACATACCTGTAACGAATCATCTTGCTGAGTCTCAGAAGTGGCACAGCTCAAATCTTGCGCAACGTTTACTGAACTGTGCAAAAGCTGTTTCGAAAAAACAAACAAACATATAGACCATTTACCAACATGTACTTACAATACACACACACACACACACACACACACACACACACACACACACACAGGAGAAATATCAACAGTAACATGACAGCTAAATTACAGTTATTCAGGCGTATCCACACAAATGGAAACCTAGAGATGAATTGTTTATCTATCTTATGATATTCATCAACACAGTCTTGGAGGTTATGTTATGTAATAATTCTTTGTTTACCATTATATTAATTTCCTTGTGTAACTGCCAGCTTATGATATAACAAATGGCTTTTCTAGATTGAAAGTAATGTCTACATCTTGTTACCACTCAAAATGTGTATACCGCTCTCCTATTTTGGTCCCATTTCCTGCATGGAGTGAGGTCAGGCGATTGTTGTCTTTAACGTTTGCATCACCTTGCAATAGCATATATATTATTTTTGTTTTTCCTTGCAATTATTTGTGCATTTCATTGCAGTAACTTGTTTTCTCCTGCTTTGCATTCCTGATGACCCATTTGAAAAGTTCGGGTGTTTGTTGGCCCAGATCAGGTCTTCAGTGACAAATGTGTCATACTACCAACATACAGTAGCATTAAACTCTTATCCTTGACAGCTATCAGCATCATCTAACATGTAACTAACATCATAACAATGTTGGTTCAGAATCAAAATTGCAAATGACCAAACACATTGTCTGAGCATTCAGTTAGCATGAGGCAAGAAGTTATCTTCTTTAAAAACGCCATTAAAAACTATCACAAGAAAACCAAATAACCTAAATTTGGCAAATGTAACTTAATAGCATATTTGTCATAATTCATAAAATAAAAAGGAAAATATTTGAAATGCCCACAATTTACTCCAGAAAGGATTTTTATATAAACATTGGCATTTTTTTCTTTTTCCTCCGCATTCCAAAGCTATGACATGACAACAATGTGACTGGTCAGTTGCAATGTTCATCCTGGACAAACATTATAATAATGATGGATCAGGAGCAGGAACAACACAATCAGTACACACACACACACACACACACACACACACACACACTGTGAATAATCAATGTTGCACCACTAAAACTTGTCACAGCCATAACTGTAAAAAACAAGTCTTGACAGCAACGAACTCTAACCGAACTCTGCAGTCATAAGTACATATACAGCTGAGGGTGTCCTGACTCTCACTGCTGTCACAACCAGCAGCAGTCTAGAATACCACATGACACCACATCATAAAACAGTAAAGCCTTTTACGATGAGTCAGATGAAATGCAAAATTTTTTTGCAAGGTCATGCAAAAAACAAAAAAAACAAACAAACATACAAAGTAATGCAAATTTCACTGAGCGGTAACATAAAGGTAGTTGTCAAAAAAACATTACATCGCCATGAGCTTGGAGGGGACCTTGTACAATTAGTACACAAAGGTGTTTAGGAACGGTATTGCTCATAGCCGTTTACACACGATCACCAAGGTATAGGAAAAAATCTGCACCTTTCATAGGGATGAACATGGATAAAGCAAGATTAATAAACATAACTGGAAAATACATAGATCTCTATGTTTTTTGTTTTTTACTGTAGTCACCCCTTCCCAAAGGTCATTCAGAGACAGGAAAAGTATAGACAAGCTACAAACTAATAGTGTTTTATGTGTGTGTGCGTGCGCATATATATATGAATTTGAAAAATCAAAAAGTCACTATTTTGTTGCCATATTACTTTGAACTATAGAGTAATCATTCCAAGAGCAACTCAGCACAACCCGTGACACCTTGTTTCAACAGTGCCTAGATTTAAATAAACATACCTGAGGTGAAGGAATGACGAACTTTGCGGGAGACCTAAGAAACACAAAACACGTGGTTTAAAACTGATATAGGCTAAACTTATAAAGCAGAGAAAAAAACAAACAAATACAACACAAAAATCTAACTTTTTATAATTTTACCTGTCACCTAAGCAGTTGAGACAATGAATTAAATAACTTTTACCCCATATATAACTTTTGATCAGAAGAAATAATAGAAGCAACAGAGCACACACTTTAAACATTTACAGAGTGGTTCAGTAACCGCTTGCTTTTAAGCGGACACAAAATGCATCTTTAAAAGTTACATTACATTATTAATCTCTAATCGAGCTGTCATACAGCGGATCATACAAAAATACTGTTTTGTAAGCTACTGCTACCTTCAGTCGGTTTTTTTTTTTATTCCAACAAGCTATGTTTTGGATGAAAACTGTAAATTTGCATTGTGGTTTCAGCTTTGATAAGAAACCTGTTCCTTCAGTCCAAATCCTACTGTCATCATGTGACTTGTGAGTGTTTTGAGGGTTAGACTCTCCTGTACCTGCACTGAATAGCTGGTGAACACAAGCACTGTATGACAGCATACAATTAATATTCGGCATCTAAATACAAAACAGACTGGGTCGTATTTTGCACACGGCACATGACCTGGCTTTGAAGCAGCTTGAGTTCATGCTTTTCATGAAAGAATGGCCATTTTGCAAATCTAACGTTAGCTGTCAATACTACGCTAGCTAGATATATATGAGACAAGAAAAAACAAGCAATTTAACACCGTTTTCAAAAGTAATATTTGCAAAACGTCTTTTCTTACACTTGTGGAGACGGAGTAAAATTGGGGTCCTCTGGAGCATCATAGAATTCCTCCGTGTCACTTGTATCTGACGCCATGCTAACGTCAATGTAGTTCGCTAGCTAGCCTAGTTTCCAGGCAGCTGTGTATAAGCCTAACCTGCCAATGACTGAAAGGTATTACATATGCGCTTGTAACGTCCTCTATGTTAACACTGATATTCCATTGCCCGAGCCCGGGAGTCGTCAAATAACAACTTTCCGGTCCAACATTACGCTGCAGCTAACAAATGTAATCCTGTCGAACGACTAAGCAGCACTTAATGCTAACTAACCCTGACCCTCTTTTAGATCTATCTTGCACAAAGCACAGTATCGACCGAAAAAAACGCCACAAGCGAGTTTTTTGTTATGCTTTTTCACAACATTACACACTTGATAAGCTGTCAAGCTAACAGAACCAGAGAACCGCGTCATAAACAAACCAGCTACACAAAAAAATACATCCTAACGAAGCAAGGGAGGGGCACAGGCGCCCTCTTGTTTCTTCTTCTTTTTCAATGGCGGTTGGAGAACAGCTTTTACGGCTAATACTGCCACCTTCTGGACTGGAATCTGAATGGAACAACTTGGTTGCTAAATCCTTTTTTTCAATCTTTTAACTCTCACTCATTTTACTTCACTAATATGAGTGCCGTTTTATAAAATTACTGTATACATTACAATACTCACTGAAAAACCAAGAGAATAACAGCCACTGATCAGGTGGAGTAGAGTGTATTAGTTGGTCTAGCAGCAAGGTGTAGTTTTTGGTTCCTAAATAATCCACTCAGGATGATATGATCATGATTAGAGCAACAGTTTGTTTAACCCATATTTGAGAAATTATTATTATTATTAGTGTATCTGGCAGATGATTCTCTGACAGACATTTTTGAATTATAGAGGCAGGTAGCATTTGGTCTGAGAGATTTCTTATATCTGTCCTTGTGGCAGTGGAGCCGAAACAGTCTGTTGGAAAAGGTGATCCGCTGCCTGTCAGTGGTGCAGAGGGGGACAGGATTATCCATGGAGTTTAAAGTTTGCTCACTGACACCACATCTTCACCACAGTTTCAAAAGTCTCTGCAAATGCCAGGTTAGCCTTTTCAGTGATTCTGTTCATGTCACCAGCTCCCAAAGCAGACCACAGGCAAGTACACTGGGCTTGCAACGCCTAATTGACAGAAAATCTCATCATTTTGCCGTTTCTTCACAGAACACGCCACACAATCATCCACTGGTGCTCTGTACTCTTCCTGCCTATCACTAATAAATTCACTGCCACTGCAGAAGTGTCAGAGTATTTTTGTAGCTCGCCGGCATTGAAAGTCCTTGGAGCTTCTGTGCTGCACATCACCAAATCAGACATAGCACTGACTAATCTCTGTCAGTAACCCATGAAATGGTATACATGTTTACTGACATTTCTTATCGCTTTTCTCTCAGCAGAGAGAAGAGCTGGATCATTTTAATTTGAGAAATCAAAGGAAGTGATCCTCTGCATGCAGCCATTTTTTTTAGATGGGAGTTAGCTCTCTGCAGCATGTATAGTTGCATCATGGCAGATTTGGTTTGTATGCAAACTGCATGTGACTTTTCCACTAATGAGCAGTTTAGAGCCTTGCTGACATTTGGTTGTTTTAAGCAGACACACAGACATAATAATTATATCTTAATTATTAGTTAGAATAACATTATTATATGTAAGGTCACCAGAAAAACGGCTAAATAAATGTGACCAGGATACAGTGATGGAAATAATTATTTTGATCTTCACTTACAAAGAAATGAACAGTCTCCAAATTTGATGGCAGTTTTATTTTAACTGAGAGAGAAAGGATAGAGGAGGATTTTAATCAAGAACCCAGAAAGAAAACATTACATAAAAATTATAAGATGATTTGCATATCATTCAGTGAAGTAAGTATTTGAGCCCCAATCAAAACATGATTTAGTACTTGCTGGAGAAACCCTTGTTAGCAAGCATGGTGGTAAGAAGTTTTTTTGTAGTTGGTCACCAGGTTTGTGCACATCTGAGGAGGGATTTCGGCCCGCTCCTCTTTACAGAAACTTTTTTAGGTTTCTTGGCTGCAACTTGGAAACTCAAAGGTTCAGCTCCCTCCACCAATTTTCTATAGGACTGAGAGAGTTTGGAGAGTGGCTAAGCTACTCCATAATCTTAATGTGCTTCTTTGTTGCCTTGGTTTTGGCTACTGCCATGCTGGAAAAGTCATCCTTGACCCATCTTTAGTGTTCTGGGTGAGCAAACAAGGGTATTGTCCAAGATTTTATTGTACATGGTCCTGCTCATTGGTCCCTCAATGTGGTGAAGTCGTCCTGTACCTTTAGCAGAAAAATAACCAAAAGCATAATGTTTTCACCTCTGTGCTTGAATGTAGGAATGGTGCTCTTTTGATCATACTCAGCATTTCTCAAACAATCATTTCCCCCACACTATACACGGTTACTGATCAGTAATTAGTGCAGGGGTATTGTTAAGTATACTAGAAAGTGTAATTAAATTGTAGTGCTTAATAAATCCATTGAAAAACTCATTTAAGTTACACGCTCATATGTTAGCCGCTCTATGCCCCGCTCATTCTTTCTCACATGCTGCGACAGGCACAGTGAATGAGGTACGGAAAAATCACCACAGACTGAAGTGTTTTCATTTGCAATCAAAGCGCTCTTTGTTCCAGATCAATGCATCAGCTGATTGATAATAAGACTACAATCTAATGGATTATTCAAGAGTATGAAAAGGTGGAGGTTGCAGAAAGGTGATTATTGGAGAATCTGAGTGCATTTTAATGAATGCATACATTATCTTTTACACATTTTGTCATTGTAGACTGTAGCTGTTAACTCAAATAACCACCCATTACAACCAAGGCATGCAGAAGAGGATCTCTGAGTCACAAGACAAAGTCACAAGACTCATCAAAGACTCAAAGTTTTTTTGTACTTTAAAAAAGTACAAAAAAGCCAAACATATTTTACAGGTAGCCTGTCATTCAAAAATACATTTATGTCTTTTAAAATGATTTACATACTTGAACAAATGTGGCTATTGTTTGTCTATTTGGTCATTTTCATTGCAGAATTGATCCATCTTTTACTTTTTTCAATAGTAAAAACTAATTAAAATATTTTTATGTATTGTTGTTATATTTTATTTAATTTTATTTAACATATTTATTTGTTTTTTTTCTAGTTAACTTTACATGGTGTAAAAAAAAAGAAATTCCTGACCTTTGGGATAAATGAGGTATGTGTTGTCTTATTTATTTGTCAGAGTCCTTTTAATTTTTGCTGTTTGAGCTGGAATGTCATTGGGCAGCAGGAACACCGGTCTCTGCTGTACCTGTGAAAAAACAAATCACTTCCATATTTCAACAACATTAGCCTCTCACATTAGCTCATCTTGAAATTTCCACTTGATTTACCACAATATTCAAACTCCAAATTCAGACTTCTGCTTTTGTAAACTAAATAAATAAATAAATAAATAACCAACCTAATTATCATACTTTATGTGCGTCCCTGTCTCACTAATTTCCAACATGTGATACTTTTCATTATGAATATAGCTCACGAATGTTTTTAAATGGAAGGCTATGGTTCACCTCACAAAGTATTATCCAGGCATTTCAGTGTCCAGGTGCTTCAAATAAAAAAAGCTGTCTTAAAACCATTATTTAGTAACGGAAGTTTTAAGCCAATGAGAGAAGATTGCCATACTCTTCCGCCAATGGAAAGTGTGGATACTCCGGCTTTCCTAGTAAGCTACAACTGCATTGGATAAAACTAGGAAGGAGGCTTCAGGGGTATAAGTGGATTTGAGGGCTTGGGAGGAAAACAAGGACGCAAGGTAACGCTATATCGTTGTGGAAGGTATGGAATATGCTTTATAAAACTTTGCAGAGTATAGTTAAACTGCCTACATTAATGAATATGTTATACGTAGTATATTAAGCTCAACACATACCGGGTTGTCAGTTAGCCATAGGCATCTGTTGGTGGTGGTAGATCAACCAACCAACCAGACCAACTAATAACTAAACCAACTAACTTATATTAGGACCACAGTCCTTTGCGCCGTCACTGGTTAAGCTAATGTCGCTATGGGAAGATTGCTTAAGAGAAACTTACGCGACAACCACAAAGTCGACTGTCGTGATTTGATGTTATTTTAAGCTAGCAAATGTTAACGATAGGGTTAGCCTAGCTAGTTAGCATTAGCCTGTTCCCACCGGAGGTGTACCGACAGTATGGAGTCAAACATGGCCAGAAAATGAGCAAAGCTCCCATTTGGTTGCCTTGTCTGTTAAGTCTGAACAGCTGTCGCAGTCCGGCTAATGGAGACAGACGTGTTTAAAGATAGGAGCCTGAAGCCTTTGCTAGGAACAAAGTCAGTTTTAGTTTCTCTCCCATACATCACGATATCAAACCTTGAGCTTTAAAAGGACTAACCTCACCTTCTCCACACGTCTCTCCGACAGCTCGGCACTTTGTGGTGACAAACGTTCGTCCCAAATTAAACCCTGTCACTAAATTAATTCTTAAACAGAGGGAATCAAAGTTTTAGGAAAACTTCTCAAATATCAAAAACTTTTGAGCTAAGCTTTTGAAACAATCGCGATGACAGTTTGCTCATCTTTTCTTATTTTAAAGGTGATGCTGCTATATTTTAAACGAGCACGAAGATTGTTCTCTCAAGTAACATAGACTGGAGCTATATTTAGCATTAATTAGCCTAGTTCAGTGTAAAGCAACAAGTTGTGATGTAACTGTAACATTTTAGCAGCGGATGGGGTCAAAGAAACACCTATTCACCCTTCTGTCAATCTATTTCAGCTTTCAGCTACAAAGTAACATGCATGCACACGCACTTTGTTACTACCAATTATTTAAGATGTTAATGTAAGTTTAATATCGTCTAAGGTGAAACTATATGAGGGATTTGTGTGTGTGTGTGTGTGTGTGGTACATCTCAGTTGAGGAGAATAAGCGTTCAGATGGTGCATTGCCATGTAACTGAATGTTTGTGTCAGCTGACATGGGGTAAAGTGGATTAAGAAAAGATCAATGCCTTGCTGGAGAAGCTTTCTTAAACTGGCTCGTTAAAGTGTGCAAACTTTAAAACATGATAACGTAAGTTCAGTTTAAAAATGCTGTTAATACTGTCAAAACTTTCCTAAAAGTGCTGAATTAAAAATCACCTAATTAAAAAAAGTATTATGGCATTTTCTGGAGTTCAGAAAATGCCATAATGTATGTGCTTCTTGGAGAAGGGTTTTAACACAAATATTTTGCTTTTGAGGTGTGGTTTTTGGCGAGGGTATGGAGCACCCTATACACAGAGGGGAGACGATGCCCGTCGGACTGCACGATAGGTATGGTAATGCGGCCTCATCTTGCATTTTTGTTTTTATTAATATGCCTATGAATTTTATATTTTGCTCACAAAACTTACCAAAAATTAAGGAATGTTTAACATACAGTGTAAGCAATGTTTAAGATTTTCTTTTCCTTCTCTTAGAATAATATTAAATGTAACCAGCCAAAATCAGTCATTTTAAAAAAAAGCATCTTCCAATAGAGAATTGATGGTGGGCCATTTTTAAACTGTAGGTAATGCTTGGTTTAAATTCTGGATAGGAATGGCTTCTACCTGGTGTTAATTAAGTAGTATTTATTACATGTTAAGGAATTAAAGTATTAATGCATTAGTATACATAGGCCAGGACTGAAAAATACTGCTAAAACCCCTGAGCCTCTCCAGTGACTCTAATATATTATTTTGTTCTCCAGTACTTTACCTTTTACATCTTGCCTGAGTAGCCTGTGTGTAATAGTGGCTTATTTCTCACTAAACAAACAGTATTTTCACATACTCATAGTTATTTCATACTTTTCTATATATACTCAAATTGGATTTTAATGGCATTTATAACTGGACTTGGTAATAATTGAAAACAAGCAGTTTCTTTGTTTTGTTTTGTCTTTGTTTTTTGTTTTTGTTTTTTATCCCCATCAAGTTGAGTCAAATGACTCATCAAGCTGAGTCATTTGACTCAACTTGATGTGACCTAATATGGACCAACACTGGGTATAACTGTGGTGGATGGTGCCCTCTGTTTTCGGTTCCTGGTGGGACTTAAAGTTAGAGACGGGCATAACTATTTTAAAACCAATAGTGACACTCATGCATGCAGAGATGACAGAATTAGTCTTTTGTCCTCATTTTAGCTTCTTCCACTGTTGTTGGATTAAGACGGCACAATACCTACTGATTTGAATGGATAGGTGTTAAAGAGATTTATATAAGAAGTCGGAGCTTTTTGTAGATTTACTGTTCATCTTTTGCCTTTGTAGCTTATAACTTTCATTTTAAGCAAAAGCGATAGATGAAGAGATAAGGAAGTCAAACTGTGCACCAAAACTGTTGGTATTTGTGTTGCGGTTTCACTCTCGGTTTCATAACTGCTACAGCTCTTTGATGTGGTACTAATAGAATTAAGATGTGCACGTTTCTGTTGAGATCACTGATAGAAGACAACAATTTCATAGCAGGTATAGAAGAAGAAGGTACTTTCAGCTGGTCCCTTATTTCCCGAGGGTTCACCACACCACATGTTTGATTTGGCACACATTTTAGGCTGGATGCTCTGCCTGATCTGATTCAATTCAACTCAATTTCAGTTAAAGTCAATGAAAATTTTTTTTATATAGCGCCAAATCATAACATCAGGCGCTTTATATTGCAAGTTAAAGACCCTACAATAATACAACCTAAGTATTATTAAGGTAGTGACCACTTTTATTGAACTTGAAAATTGATCATCTTTGGTGTCTTAGCACCAGCATTTCACTATCGATAAAAGTAACTTATCCAGGTAAAATAGGGAGTAATTTTAACTTCCTGAATAATGCATGCTACAAAAACAAAGTTTAAGTGAGCCAACTGAGTCATGGTAATTTCAGTTCTATCTCTAAAAAGCTTCAGAGCTGCTTATTTTCCAGGTAACAGATGTTTGCATTTAAAGGCCTGATTAACTGGTCAACCACTTTTACCAAAAAATATTTTGATGTGTAGATAGAGAGCATCTAGTCTTTTTAATAGAGCATCTAAACCCTTTGTCTTTCCAAAACATCAATGACAATATTGATTCTCTGGAGAGGGAACATTTTCCTTTGCCTCGTTGTTTTTTATTCTAGCCTGTAGCAAACAATTTCAGATGTATTTTATTGTTCCTAAGGCCTTCGTTTAGCACTGAAGAAGCTTTGAATACTTGTTGAGATTGTGAAAGATTTGTAAGCATGCTTATATTTGATCTTTAATTGCTTTCAAGACTGTTTAACATTGGCAGGGTCGCACCTGAAAGAAAAGGGTGAAGTAGTCGTACATGCCATAAGATTGCATCTAAGCAACACAAAATTTAAATGGAACACATAATTATAGTTCTAATCAGATATGCTTTGCTTTAATAATGGGGCGGTGATGCTGATGCCTATTAATTTACACAGCAGACATTTTTCCCCAGCCTTCCTCCTTGGCTTTGGCTGCAGCCTTGGTGTTACTTTTAGCTGGAATTAGATTAATTTAATTCCTCATATTTATTTGAGGTTGTTTATTTTTTTAATCCTGCCAGTTCAGACAGCCAGTTTCTCAACCGTGACTTCTTTGATTAAAATTGAGTTAAATTTGAGTAGGTTAAACTCCCTTTGGACAGCTATGGTCTGTAAAAGGCGCTCGAGAACAGAACTGAGACTGTGTGGAGGTGGATGAGACACACCACCAAATGGATGGGCAGTTGGAGAACACAGTTGTGAGTGTAAAGTTAAGGCGGACTGCTGACTGTCTCTCCACAGCATAAGCTATCAGTAACACATTTAGAAAAGCCTGTTCAATAAATGAAAGAAGCTTAAAAACACCATGACTTCACTTCTCCTATGGTTAATTGCTTTTGGATAATAATCAAATTGTATTTAGCATAGAAACCTTGCTGTTCACAGTTCATTCATGTAAAATAAAATCTTTACACTGGTGTGGAATTATTGTATTGCTGCCATTTGACATAGACAGCTCTATTATGTGGGGGTTTGCAGCTGTTGGAGGAGAGTGATAGAATAGGACTGTGAATAATGGGTGTAGCACTGAGCCTTCAGGCTTTGACAGAAGCGGCACGATGACTGCTGCCCTTGGTTAAGACGCAAGGTCATTCTGCCAGTTACAGCGTAAGGTGTGATGATGGGGGTTGTAATACAGATGGCACCGCCAGTTGAGGAGAAGAAGAGAGGAGGAAAAGGGTCATGACCGTTATATGTATTTCAGAATGCAAGAGGAGAGAAGACTATTTAAAGATGTTATTGTTTGGCTAGTGCTGGGTTTGTATGTCATATGCAGGAATATCCACTACAGAGGGGGTGCTTGCACACACATGCAGCGTAGCTGAAATTTGACACAAGAACAGATTAAGTGGACAAATATTCATCTTTTCTGAGAGGGACTTTGTCACAAAATCAGCCACCAGAAAGAATTTATGCTTGAACACTTCACATGAAGCCTTTCCTGTAATAGCGGGACAGTGCACTCTTGGCCACTTGAAACTGCAGCAGTCTGATGGTGAGTTGAGGTTAGACAAAAATAACACAGAGAAGAAAGATTTATTTTGAAATGCTGCTACTGTTGTATTTTTAAAGAAGTAGATATTACATACATAGACATATTACGTTTTAATTTTTATTTTTTGCAATGATCTATCTGATATAACCGATTTGCAGTTTAATTAACACACAAAAACACTGTTTTGGAATTGGCCTCTGGTTGGCTCTCGGTGCTTTTCGCAGTCTCTGGCAAATAAAGAGTTAGAAGAATCACAAAATGTAATGCTAAGTGTTTTGAATTCTCCATATTCATATATGGCAAAGGTAGCATCTTAGGTGGACGTCTCACTCAGACCTCAGATACACAGAGAGTGGTGAAGGATTTAAGACTAATTATGACTTGTGCGAGTCGAATCTGTGGAGAGCCTATTTTGTAGTCCACGCACAGGGCTGGTGACGTTGCCAAAATTTATGCTTGTGCTGTTGTGTCTCTGTTGTACTGCAGCTTTGCCTCCAAAACACTGGTTTGCAATCAAGTTTCTGTTTAAGTTGATCTAGTCCATTCAAAAAAAAAAAAAAAAATCATGGCAGAAACAGGAGTTGGAAGAAATAAGAAGAAAGGATTATACTGATGAGGTCAATCACAGTCATGTAGTTACATTTCCAGGGGGAGACAAGGGTGTGCGGTTACCCAGTAACTATGGTGTAGATGAAAATACAGGTGTACATTTTCACTGTTAGTTTGCCACAAGCAGGGAACATAAGTGGCCAAGTAAATGTGGCTCCATGGTGGAGTGGTTTACAAATTCACCTACCAGTTAAATCCCAGGGGCAGATGTGTATCCCTTTGGGGTTGTGTCAGAAAGCTACCTGCTGTGGTGACCCTTTTGAATTAGGGAGCAGGTGAATGTAGCTGAAGTGGCCAAAAATATCAGCTGAACAGCTGAGGGTGAGCAGGTGTTAAGTCATTTTATGTCTTTTTTTTCAACTTTTTAAAACTACTTTCCCCCCCAAAAAATCTTTTAGTTTGTTATTATGTGTACCATTTTAAAAAACAAAACAGGCAATAACAGTACGATAAAAAAATACATGAAAAAACTTGAGGGCTGTTTTTTTGTTTTGTTTTGTTTTGTCTGAACAACAGCTGTTAAATACAAAATTTTCAGATTGCTCCGGCTCCGTAGGGGATAAGCTTACACCTGGAATAATTTCTAAAACAGTCGTATGATAATAATGGTAGAAAGATGAAACCCCATCTTGGCTCCAGATAATGATTTACATTCTGACTCCTGTTTGGTAAAATAGATTTTTGTCAGCAGACATCAAATCGTGGAGCCTTAACTGGCTAGATACTGAATAGAGAACAGGATGATGATCAAAGCTTCGTGGACCTAAGCCCCCTGCTGGTTTGATTATTCCCCATTTACATGTTGAGCAAACGATTAATCTTCCATGTTTTGCCACAGCAGACCTCGCAAAGGGTGTCGAATGTCTGTATAATAGAAGCAAATTATTATTTATTTA